TATATATATATATATATATATAAATCGGGGGCTGACCGGGGCGGGGGGCGGGGCCGGGGTCGGGGATGAAATATGTATCACCGTCCCCGGCCCAAATGTCACCGGGGATTTATTTTTGAATACCATCCCCGGCCCGTCGGGGGTATTTTTCGGGGAAAAACCACTCTTATCGGGGACGGGGGACGGGGGTCGGGTCCCCGTCGGGCCGGGTTGAAATTGCCATCCCTATCTCCTATAAGTCAAAAGTTTTGAGATGATTTTTGACATTGCACACATGAGGTTGAGATCAATTAGATAACAGCTTTCATGTTTTTTAGTTTTGACCAAGGTGGCGAGTATCTATTTGAGTTATCTTTAGAAAACTCTGTGAAGAGAGATGGATGCCTAGAAAATTGATTATTCCTAGTACTCAACAACACAATGGTGTAGTAGAGAATAAGGAATTAAATATTGTTAATGTTAGGTGGATAATGGCGTAAAATGTTTTCCAATTGGAAATTGCACTAGTTTGTTGCCTATATCCCTAACTAAGAGCCCTCCATATCAGTTTTTACACTCCAATTTTGAGTAATAGGTTAGTGGAGAGCCATCTATGGGCGATCTGTAATCGTTAAGCAGCTTATCTTTATGTTACTTCTCATAAGATTGTGAAGTTAAGACCTATGGTTCTATAGCGCATTATTGTATGCTGTCTTGTAAACACAAAGGGTCGTGTGGTATTTTACTTCTCATAAGATTGCGAAGTTAAGAACTAGGGTTTTATAGCGCATTATTGTATGCTGTCTTGTAAACACAAAGGGTCGTGTGGCGCATTATTGTATGCGGTAATGTAAACCCTCCAGGTCATATGCATATAGGTAAGCAGCTTTGTGGTAGTGTAACTAAGTCACATAAAGTTTTATTAGTAAAGGTGACGTGAATAGAGTTTTTGGAACTCTATAAGATAGAGAATTCTAAGCATAGCGCTCTATGTAGCCTAGTTGAGAATGGAAAGAAATTTCCAATATCCTAGGGACAGTGGGAGCGATGTGCCTACTAATGGATTACTCCATTAGAGAAGAATACTCTACATTCTTAGTTGCGTGGTAGCAAATGTTGAAAATTTTCCACGTCATCACTGGGTGATTGAGAGGGAAACATTCATGATTGCTCCGCAAGATGATAAAGAGCCTAGGATAATGCCAAAGGCTCTAGTCCCCTGTTTTTAGAAAGTGGATCAATGTTGCGCAGTTTAAGACAAAGTCTTTGAGGATTAACCATTTCTATAATTTGGTTGACTTTCCATTATGACGCAAAAAGTTATGCGTAATTTGGATAGTCATTGTTGAGACATAAAGAGTCACGTCATCCAAGAAATGCGAGATTAAATAAATTAGTCATTAAGTATAAGACGAGTAGCCAGTATGAGCAGTGTTTTGCTCTCTGCCCAATTATTGGGAGTGGATGGAGCAAAAATTTCGTGCACTATAATAGTGTGCGTTAAAATATCACGTGAAGTTAAAAGATTAGCGCTTAGAAGCTGCAAAATCTATTAACACTGAGTGAAAAGATTAGCGCTTAGTGGCTGCAAAATCTATTAGCATTGCCAACTTGTCTAAGTCTGGACACTTACCCGTTTCCACACTTGAGTGTGAAACATGGATGAGGTGCTTCTTTGTGTGATTCCTTTACTAGGCTAACGTTTTGAATAACATTTACAA